CCGGATGTTTTCCTCAACTATTTACATTGCCTCATCACCACCGACATCTGTCCCCTTCACAGAACATCATTATTCTGGTGGTTCCTCCAGCTGGAAGTGGACACTGGGTAGATCCTGGGAGGGATAATCATGAATGCAGCGTAAATCCTTCCATAAGGAAGCTTCCATCTCCGACATACCTTTCCAGCAGACGCTTTGAAGCTGTTAAATCTCAAACCCAGTTTGTTACAGCCCAAAGTTAACATTTTATAAAGACACTCATGCATTTTCTTTAAGCTTTACAATATGGAAACACATCTCCATGAGACTCGGCCGCTCCCGTAGGAACCAAACAGGAATGTTTGCTGGGGAGAGAACTGGGAATTGCTGCTGTATTTGATTAAACCACAGACTGATTATAAACGCTGCTGCTTGTGTGCTACAGGTCCAACCAGGATTCCTGCTTGTCTGCAGGGAAGATAAAGGGAGAGAAAGAGAGACCTGGTCCCTCTGCCCCTTCGGCTGGTTTTATGCAGTGCATGGGGCTTGTGTGGCACAGGGTGGGAGTTTGGGAATGGTCTCCGTGGGTTGCTGGGGTGTGAATGCATCAGGCACAGCCTTCAATAAGAGCATCAAGGGCTGGGAAAACAGAAGATACTTGAAATCTCAGAGCCAGAAAGAGGATTTGGTTTTATTTGAATAATTATTTAATAAATACTTATTAAAAGGAGAAGGAGTCGTCAAGGAGGGGGTTTGGGTCCTGGCAAGGTGAACTCAGAGGGTTTTGGCAGGTCTTTCCCTGGCTGGGAGGGAGATGTCTCAGGGCTGCTCCTAAAGCTGGGCTGAGAAGTGACTGCCCTTCGAAGTGCTGACCTCCCAGTGTGTGGAATTAACTCAGTTTTGCTTATTAACATCATACCAAATTGTAAAGGGGATTCATTGCATTTGTAGATTCTAGAGGAGAGACCCCTGCACTTGTGGAAGGTTTTCTCCCCTCTCCAACAATTGTACATCTAATTTAACCTGTGCTTTCATCTTCGAGAACAAGACAGCAACTCAAACCCCATCTCTCCGTGCTGGAGCGTCAAAATCCCTCAGACACCAACTAACACCTTTCACACCGTTTCCAGTGTTCCCCAGGTACTAGGAAAGGTATTTTCTTCCCAGATGCTTTTCCAGAACTTTGGGCTAAACCAGGCAGCTTAGAGCAGCCGCCCCATCCATCTGCCCACCATGCAGAGATGGAGCTTCGGGATCCTCTTTATCCTGGCATCACTGGAGCATCTTTGGTAGCTGGTGTCTTCATCTGTCCCCCCAGCAGGAGCAATCCCTTCTGCAGGAGACTCTTACATTGTCTTTGCAGGTAGTTAGACCTGTTTACTGGAGTAATAATGAGCCAGTGGGGACTTAGGTGTGAGCGGAGGTACCTGCAGCCACAACTAAGCTGGAGGCCTCTGGTGTACAACAGAGTAAGATCCAACCTTTAAAACTTCTCCTTTAGGGCCAAATAGGGTTTTCTTCCAAAGATTTAATGGCTGTGTTTGCTCTTTTCGCCCTACACAGAGCTCATTGTACCACAGTAGGTGGTGGGAGGATGCAAACATTGAGTTTGACCCAAGGTCAGCAACACCCTGAGATGTTCTGTGCCAAAACCCAGCAGCACATTGTCTTGTGGTGGAGAGCAGCTGCAGAGAAATCCTGCTCGATGAGGAGGAGCCACAGGAGAGGGACACACTGAAATCAGCTCCTCAGGACTTGGCTGGGGAACCTCATGTTGGACATCAGCCGCCTTCGGATGCTCTTCAGATGTTCAACAAGGCCAAACTGCACTAAAATTACTGGAGTATTTTATCTACTTCAGTTCAAGACAACCAGGTGCAAAGCATTAACTCAGCTGGCCTCAGCCATGAAATCACACCAGGATTTAATCTGGATAAACCCCTT